GGCCCGGCCGAGCGGGGAGGAGCCGCGGGCGGCCAAGCCGGGCCGTCGCGCCGGCGCCGCTGGGAGAGGCCGGCGCGAAGGGGAAGGGGCCGGCGGCTGCGGCGGCCAATGCGAAACTGGCTGGTGCTGCTGTGCCCCTGTGTGGTCGGGGTCGCGCTGCACCTCTGGCTGCTGCTGAGCTGCCCCGGGAGCCACCCGGCAGGTAGGAGAGGGGCGGGCGGCGGCGGGTGCCTGGGGCATCCGGGCGGGCTGGGCTCCTCCAGCCTCCCTCACCAGGCGAGGAGAGGTCGGGTTCGGCGGGGCAGGTAACGGGGGCGGGAGGCGAGGGGAGGGCCGGGGGACGCTGTGGCCGGGGCAGCGGGAGCAGCGCCGGGGTGCCCGCGGGCTTCGTCGGCAGGGGAGGGAGCGTCTCGTACCGTGGAGCGGCGGAGAGCAGCGCGGGCTCCGCCGCCCGAGGCGGAGGCACCGGGCGCGGCGGCGGCGCGGCGCTGCCGCGGGTGCGGAGCGGGGCAGCAGCTCCCGCTGCCGAGCGCCTGCTGCGCCGCCGGTGCCCTCCCGCTCCCACCGAGGCACGTGGGGAAGAAATTCCCACCGACCCCGCTCGTGTCGCGTCATTCCCGGTCCTAGGAATAGCTCTTCGCACTGCGCTGTGTTTGCCTCAGCCGGCTTTAAAACCCCTGTGCTGCACAAAGCTATTCATAGGACCGGGTATCATCCAGCACAAGTGAAATCCGAACCTTGAGGGCTTACCTTGTGCTCCTTATAAAATGAGGTGTAGCTTTCAGGCCGCAAATCTTCAAGCCTGAGGAAGCGGGCGTCTGTTGGAACAGAAACTTTTGTCAGCTGCCCACAGGTGCTGTTTGTCGATGTTAGAAAAGACTGTGAATGAACACGTAATGGTGGTTTTTTACTTGGGGTGTGCTTAGAGCTGTGTAGTGACCCAGTAGCCCGTTCAATAATGGACCCACGCTGCCACTGGTGCCTGTTTGTCGTGCAGGGTGTGCGCAGCTGTGAGGAAACAAGAGTCTGCTGATTGCCAGTGGCAATTAATAGTGCAAATATGCAAGAAGCAATTGCGCTATTGCATAGCCCGAAGGCTGCAGAGTTGTATAGGTGTCTGTCTGTATTCTGGCTTTTGCATAATCACATCAGCAGCGGTTACACTTGGATTATAAAAGAAAGGGAGATACAATTATTGAACTTCTAGCCTGATGTGTGTTTGAATTGCCTGGTTGGTTTTGTTCATCTTTCATGGTGCCGTTTGGAAGCTTCAGAGCATTAATTTGGAGTTAGAAGTGGCAGTGTGGAGTCTTGTGGTGGCCTTTCCCAAGTAAATGTGTTTTCCATTAACAAACATTTCCAAAGAAAATCCAGAAGTTTCTCAATTGGTGTTGGTGTGAATGAGTGACTTAGGTCACTTAAATAATCACTGTTAAAGGTATGAGCAGCTTAAGAAACTTGTATATTGAGGCTCTCTCTGTTGCTTACTGCATGGACTAAATGTCCTAAGGAAACTCCAGCTAGAATTAATTTAGAACAATTTACACAGAGATCAAAGACTCAAGTGGATAAGGGTTGACTGTAGTTGAGTCACAGCGTTCAGGGTGGATCCCCTTGATTTTAAACTCCTAACAAAGCTTAGGTGCAGCTAAGTCCAATCTTGGTCTCCAACTTCATCAGAGGTTTGTATCTAAATGAATTAGAAGCACTTCATCAGTGACTAATTTAACAAAGTGATTTTCCTTTTGTAGAAGTGAGTACAGTGGGTGAGAAATGATAGGAAATCTAGGTATATGTCTCCTCCAGTGCCTCAAAGTATCCAAAAGCTGCTCTTATCTTTTTTTTTTTTTTTTTTTTGGGAGTGTTTGGATTGAGAGTGCAGGGACTGCACAAAGTACTGCACTGTACCCCCTGGTTGCTGTCAGATTTAGGGGCAAGATTTGGACCAAAGGGCTGCACATTGCCAACCACCGTGTGCCAGGCTTGGATATTCAAAATATTGAAATCCAAAGTAGTTCCATTGTCCATTGATCTTCCCCTTCAAAGCAAGTAGACAACATTCACTTCTCGACCAAGAGAACAATAAATTAACTTTTGTGGTTTGTCAAATAACACTTGCTCCATTCACTGCAGTGGTTTTAACTCTGTGCTGTCCAAGTTGTACACCCAGCTTCTCAGCATCCTGTTGCATTTATATTGAAATTCGTGCTCCTGTATCTTTGGGTAATTTCATCAGTTGTTGAAGGCCAAAAGAAATGAGAATGTGTTTTGCTTTAGTGATGTGTTTGAGCTCATATTCAGAGGAATCTGAGAGAAAGAATCAGCTTTCCTCAGTTTGCTGTCATCAGGGTCATCCCATATGTTCCCATCCCGTTCTTCAGGGGATACAATTAATTTCCTAATTATACAACGTCAGGAGGATGAAAAGCCCACATAAACATAAATCTGATGTTTTCCTGTGACTTTTTTTTTCTCATTTTCTTCCCTTAACTGATTTTGCAGCTGCTCCATTTTCAAAGACAGTATTAATTCAGTTGCCTTTAGGAGTTTTATTTCTTCCTTTAGGTATAATACCCTTTTATTGTTATTCTTGCTATCTTGATAAGCAGCTTCTAACTAGGTTCCTAGCATTTTGCAAATAATTCCTTTTCCATCCTTTATCTGGCTCCAGCTACCTTTAGCTGTCATTTCACAGCTGTACTATCATGTCAGTTAACCGTGTTCTTCTGAGAATTTGGAACTTGGACGTATTCTGTGCTTTCTTAAGTAATCTGTCCTTCTATTTGACATGCAGTCAAACATGCCAATTTGTCACAAATGAGTGGTTTAGGTTGCTTAAAGAATCGCTGTCAAAGGTAGTAGCAAAACCAGGTATCACCTGGATTTAACCTGAGCTCACAACTGAGCACCTCGCAGCCAACTCACTCATTTCCCCACCCCTGCAGTGGGATGGGGAGGAGGACCAGGGGGAGAAAAAAAAAAGAAAAAACCCTCATGGATTGAGAAAGGAAAAACTGAGTTAGAATTCATTTAGAGTGATTTATAAAGAGGCTGAAGATGCATAAAGGTAAGGGAGACCCTCCTGTTGAGTCAGAGTGGATCCCCTTACTTTCTAAACCCCTCATGGAGCTGAGATGCAGCTAGGTCCAGTCTTAGTCTCAGACTTGGTTTTTGATCAATGTCTAAAGAATTTAGCAGCCACTTAATCATTGACTAATTGAACATTTACAAAGTGATAGGATTTACTATAATTGCTACAGTGACTTCATTATACATCCAAGACAGCAACATTCATGCTATACTGGCAGGAGAGTGCCTAAGTCAGTCCACACATGCATGTACACTGACACAAAGAGATATATTTATATACAGGGATGTATGGGTATCAATGTATGGAGGTATACCTGTTAAAAATTCCCCTGGAGCTCAGTGAAACACTCACTTCAAATATCTTGGCATTTCTCAGTGGGAAAGGGCTGAGCCTCAAGGAGTGGAAGGTTTCAGCCCAGGCCCTGTCATCAGTTTTGGGTGCTGATCCTCAGAACTTTGCAAACTGGGGAGTCTGTGAGCTCTGAGAGGCATCCTGCTCAGAGAGTCGCTGGTGACAGTCTGCTGTGGTCCAGGAGAGCCAAAGGGCTTCACTCAAGACCAGTTTTTAGGGTTCTTTAGATGTTTGGCTTTAGTCATCCATAAATTTCCACCCTGAGCACAGTCTTTGTTGGTAATTGCTGGAATTTTCAAAAATCCAGTAACTATGGAGTCTGTTCTACTCAGGGTACAGTTCAAGTAAGGAATGTTCCAGGCCTGCCAGGGGATGACTGACTACTGCTGCTGTCATTCCCTCCTTGATCAGGCAACAGGAGCTCCTTCCCATGGTCAGTGTCCCCTTCACCTTAACCATGGTGGGGCTGGTTCCTGGTCCAGTCGAGGGACACTTCACTGCCCAGCTCATTACAGAAAGGCCTGATGGGAATTTCTGAGGTAGAGCAGCCCTGAGGAGAGGGAGGAAGGCACCACTTGGAAGTTGGGGAAGGAGAGAAGTAGCTTTGCTCTTCAGAATTTCCCTGTTTCAAGCAGTTACTATTGGAGTTGATGTTCATTACTGTAAAATCCTGCTGCACTGGATAATGTTAGGGTAACTAGGATTTTTAATAAGTGGGTTTTTTTTTAATACTGAAAGAGCAAGTGTATGGTTTCTGTGCAGGGTTTATTTAGTTGTAAACAAATACTATTGTAAAGTTGCTATTGAGTAATGTATTCATGCTGACGAGAGGAATAACGATGCCTCCTCTACAGTGAGAACATATGTCATCCCTAGGAAAATGCTCAGTACTGTACATGTGTTGTCTTTTTGTAGGCCCAATCCTTGCATGGTATTTAAGGAAGAATCTGTCTCTTAGCTCTCAAAGTACCACAAAATGTACAAGATGTAGGTATGGCTGCCTTGGCAGGAGAAAGAAGGATGAGCCAAGGGACCTCAGATGTCTTCTGTGTTGTTGTTTTGTTTTTTTTATTATACAGAGTGTTTTAGGAACATCAGTGAATTTGTATACAAGAGGAAGAAATGTTTTAAAATTTATTAAAATGTATTAAATTTATTAAAAGGCTTCTTGAATCTGAAACTACTTAAGAGGTTCTGGTAGTGCCTGATAATGCCAGTCTTGTTTCACTTGAGTAATTTTTTTCCTTGATTACTACTCCAACTGCTCTTTATTACAGATTATCTGGAATCTCTGGTGTGAATAAAAAGTAAATCTTATCATGGGGCAATGTTTTGCAATAGCTGTGACATAAAAATGTGTAAGTTGTATATTCTCTGGCACTTCTGTATAGTTGTGTACAATAGTTGTGTGCTATCTCAACAGTTGCAGAATTAGCCACCAGTAGAGGTCCATGCAGGGTGAACAGCAGTTCTGTTTTTTGAGGAGTTTAATTACCCTCCCAAATAATCATTACCACACATTCAAATGGAAATCTGTCAGAAAGTTGATAACCTGTTTTAGTGATTATTTACCTTGGCTTCATTGACTCACTCACACAAGATTGGAATAGATCCAGCCATCAATTCTGCTTACTATTTCTATGAAGCAACTCTTGGTTTCTGTTATAAAATGGCAGGTGGGCAGCCTACATTTATTTAGTGAGGGCTTGGGGTGGCTTTTTGTCTGTTCGTTTGGATTCGTAGCAGTTGTAGGAAGAGGT